CCCCCCCCCCCCAAAGTTGGAGGTTGAAGGACTCACATTTCCTAACTTCAAAATTTACTACAAAGCTACAATAATCAAGGCTGTGGTACTGCCACAAGGATGGACACACAGACCAATGGAATAGTATTTGGAATCCAGATGGAAACAAATACATTTATTCAACTGACTTTCGACAAGGGCATCAATACCATTCAGTGGGGAAATGTTGCTGTAACAACTGGATACCCACATGCAATAGAATGAAGGTGGAGATCTGCCTTACACCATACGTGAAGATTAACTCAAGATGAATCAAGAGACCTAAAGGTAAGAGCTAAAACTATAAAGTTCCTAGGATAAAACAATGGAGTAAATCCTTATGACAAAGAAACAAGAGAAAGAATAGATGAATTGGACTATATAAAACTTTAAAACTTTTGTGTCATAAATGTTACCATCAAGAAAGTAAAAAGACAATCCTTGGAACAAGAGCAAATATTTGCAAATCATATATCTGATAAGGTACTAAATCCAGAATATATGAAGGATCCTTACAACTCAACAATAGAAAGACAAACCAATTCAAAGATGGGCACAGGATGTGAATAGACATTTCTCTAAAGAGGCTATACAAGTCAAAACCATAACAAAAAAGCATTTCACATCCACTATGATGGCTATAATCAAAATACAATGACAAAAGCTGGAGGACATGTGGGGAAACTGATCCCTCATACTTTACTGGTGGAATTGTAAAATGACGTAGCTACTGTGGAAAACAAGTTGGTTGTTCATCAAAATGTTAAACACAGAGTTATCACATGGCCCAGCAACTCTACTCCTTACTATATGCTCAAGAGAGTTGAAAACATATGTCCACACAGAAACTTGTATATGAACGTTTATAGCAGCAGTATTCATACTAGCCAAAGAGTGGAATTAAGTTAAATATCTACCAACTACCTGATGAAGGTATATCCTACAACAGAATATTACTTGGCCACAAATAATATAATAATACTTTAAATGGGTGACTTTTATGATATATGAGTTATATATACCTCAATAAAGCTGTTAAAAAGGATCCTTATTATGTGAGGATTAGCACATTAAGGAAGAACTATGCCTTAGGGGTATGCACTTTTGTTTCCCTTAGAAATTGTAACAGTAATACATTATTTAAAAAAATTTTGTTTAATGTTTTATTTTTGAGAGAGAGAGAGAGAGCACAAGTGGGGGGAGGGCATAGAGAGAGGGAGACACAGAATCCGAAGCAGGCTCCAGGCTCTGAGCTGTCTGCACAGAGCCTGACGTGGGGCTCAAACTCATGAACCGTGAGACCATGACCTGAGACTAAGTGGGATGCTTAACCGAATGAGCCACCCAGGCACCCCAGTTATATACATTGCTTTAAATGATTTTATTTATCACTATAATAATTTATCTATACTCGTGCTTACTTCTTGATTCCAAGAAGTAGATTTCTAGATTTGGACACGAAAAGATCTTTAAAGATTTTGCTAGTCACCTTCTCTGGATCATGCACGTGTTGCATTATATTAAAAAAAAAAAAAATTCCTTGCCCTAAGTGTATGACTTTTTTTTTTTTTTTTTTTTTTTTTTTTTTCAGGCTGAGGGGTCAGTGATCATAATCTGATCTGGCTACACTGAGGAATTTTCAGTTTAGACACTAGAGCCAGGTATTCACAGACCCAGGTAAAAAATAAAAATAAAAGAGAAAGTTCTCCGGGAATCAACAGAATCTAACTAGATGCGAAACCAAAGACGGGAATAACGTACAGAATGAACATGCATAATGACATTTCTCTTAGATTCTAAATAATCTCCAGTTTTTATTTAGTTATCCCATCACTCTCATTTATAAGGTGTTTTCTACTCACACCTCCAAGAGGAAATGATTGACTTTAGTTTACATCACTTAAATTGAGTGACTTTTCATTTTAAGCTGGTTAATGATGACTTTGCAGCTATATAAATCTTAGAAAATAACTTTAGTGTATTTAAATCAGATTAGTTTTTCCTTAAAAATTGGGGCTCTGTATATATTGCGCACGCACGTGCGCGCGCGCGCACACACACACACACACACACACACACCCACCCCCCCCCTGCCCCCGGCTCCATTCATTGAATGAAGTGCTGTGTCTCAATGACTCAAATCCCTTTACCCCTTGCACTCTATTCAGTGTTTAATTTCTTTGTATAAATAGTAAATGTTTCTAAAATCTGTCAGCCAGTGATTTAACCTTCAAAGGTAAACTTTCCTTACAATACTTCTAAGTAATGCTACAAACACCATAAGCATGTGTCAAGGAGCACTGATGGAGTAGTGGAAAGAGATCAGCTTTGGAACCACATAGAACCTGAGTTCAAATCCTAGCTCAATTTCAAGTGATAAGCTCTATGGGTCTTGGCTTCCTGTCTGTGCAATGGAGATATTAATAAATATTTTGTTGCACTCTTGTGAAAATTTAAAGAAATATATAAAAATAATTTAGTACAAGGTCTTAGCTTCAGCATTTGTTGACATTTGTTCAGCTGCCCAAAAAATCTGAAGTGAACTCCTTTGTGGTTTTCTGAAAAAGAGTTTAATACTTTCTAGCTCAGGTTGTTTCTTATGTGCCTAAGACTTTTTTGTAAAACAAAAAATAATTTCCGTCAAATCCTACAAAGTGACCTGCCATATACCTAAGTTGAAGTAATAATCTAATACCAACATGCATTTTGGAGAAATCTGAGATAGTAAAGCTGTCTATATTTGCAAGTTTCACTTAATCTCCCTCCCTAGCACCCTAATTCTAAAATACAATTATTTCAGAATCAGTCAAATAGCATCTCTATTACATATCCATGTTTCACAGTTTATCATTGGAGATCTGTTTTTCCATGATTCTGAAAGATTTGTAGTGCTATAAAGGAGAAGAAACTTTAATGTTTTGACTTTCTAGAGGTGTTAATTTGTATCCAACAACCAAAGGGGGAAAACTTGCTATAAAAAAAAAAACAAAAAAAACTCCAGATGACTAACTTTAGAATTAAATGAACTGGCTGATTTGAAATGTTTATCATATAAACAAAAGTGTTTGTATAAGTGTGTTCAAGATAGTTTCACCTCATCAGAAATCAGCATTCCACATTTCCTATCGGTTTAACTTTTGGAAATTTACTTCATATTTTTCTTCTGCCTTTTTAATAAAGAAATTAAGTTAGTTGTGATGAGGCCTTCTTACTAGCAGAAGCAATAAAAAGGACTCAAGAATATACAGATAATAAATACATGTTACTTATTAAGGTTATTAATGACAGGTACTATGTAAGGTCTGTAAAGACAAGTAATTAGTAACAATTTCAGGAAATAAACCTTTATTATCTATCTGTGTAACATTAAAAAAAAGACAGGATGGGGGCGCCTGGGTGGCTCAGTCGGTTGGGTGTCCGACTTCAGCTCGGGTCACGATCTCACAGTCCATGAGTTCGAGCCCCGCATCGGGCTCTGG